CCTCACCAAAATTTTAGGTCACGAGCCGCCACTGTGTGGAACCTATAAAATTAGGTAGTCAATTTAGTAGACTGTTTTCTGAATTCTTAAAAATTATTCAATATAATAAAATATTAAACTCACGGGGTAGGTTGTTTAGATTTAGTTTATTCAAAAATAACTAATACTGTGGTGACACAGGATATTAACCCCATTGTACGCGAAGATAAATTTCATCTTGCTCTAAATATTCTAATTCCAGTTTCTGATACTCGATACAGAAATTTTGAACCGTCTGGGCACTCTATGCTTTATAATTTTAGAAAAGCTAATTTCCCGCTTCTATATCAACTTCTTGATGAAATCGATTGGACGATTGGTCTTTTTTATACTTATACTGGATGAAGTGAATTACGCCTGTACAAGACGATTCTTGAAGTATTTGTACAAGTTAACAGCAGGGGTTTTCCCTGCGAGGGGTTTCAATCAATGTGAACTTTTATTTATGTACGAAATAGAATCATTGAACTAAGTATAGGCGTAAGATCGTAGATCTGAAATTATTGTATCAACTTTTACATAACATATATGTGACAGCAGTTTTCTGTTAGGATCCCTAAGTTTTCGTATACCTTCAACTGGGACAAGGAATATGACTGTATTTTGTTACCCACGTTGTAAGACAAATCTGGAGTTAAAGTCTCCTGTCTATAGGTTGAGTGCAATTGGAAATACTTTGTCGGCGGATTGTGATTTATTTCAAGATATATTACCTAAGTGGTTAGCAACATTTAGTTTAAGTCCTACTTCGGTTGTTTAGTTCAATTCAATTTATTTCATTTTGTGAAATTATCTTGTTTTTTTTTTTATTACTTATGATTTAACATTCGTGGTTGTAGCACACGCACATCCTTTTTGTTTATTGTTTTACCCTATAAGTGGATTTTCTGTTGGGTAAATAAATTGTGGCGACACAATAATACGTAGTGGTAAGCGAAAAAAGATAAGCTCCTCCGTAGTCTAGTGGTAAGGGCACCCACCCGGCAAACGGTAAACGTGCGGTTCGATTCCCACCGGAGAGGCAACATTTTTCATCGCTTACCCTACAGAATCATTATTATTATTATTATTAATTTTCTTACCTATCTATCTGCGTTATGCAAGTACCTACAAAATATACGTCGTATTGTGGATAAGATATCCACAATCACACATCAAAATATAACCTCACAGGAAACAAACACGATTTTACTATAAAGATACATCTAAGCAAATAATTGAATTAATAACTTCAAGTGTTTAATAGACTCTATTTTGAGATGTGAAAACTTCGTAAAATAGAGACTAAAGTATTTGAAGTTTCCACTTTCATACTTCAAGTACTTCAAGAGTATGTATTTAAAATAGGTACTGAGTGAAGTATTTGAAGTAAAGTAGGTACTTGACAAAATCAAGTACTAAACTCAAGTACATTTTAGAAATACTCCACGTACCAAGTACCAAGTAGAGTTCCCTCAAACATATAAGGCGTTTATGACTTCACACCAATTTGACTCCCATTATAATTCAATAGGCCGTCACAACCGGATGTCTTAAACCCGCTCACCGATACCTACCTGAAAAGACCTTTTCTGGTAAAAGCACAAGGCAGGACTGAGTTTTGCATTTACCGACAACTGCGCCTTTCGATTTTTTTATTTTAAGTAAAAACACAGTAACTTTGTACTCAATCATTTTTTATTACAGCAAATTAGTGAGAATTTTGGCATGCACAACTATTTACTTATTAACTACTACTGCTTATTTATTGATCGAAATAGTCACTGTCATCATCACTCGACTCTTCTAAATTAACAATTAACGGTTTTATCAACCGTGCCCTGTACTGGTCTTTTCCTGAATTTATTCTTCAAGAAGGCACTGTGTTTTGTAGCTTCTGCTACAAACTGCATTTCTATTTACAAATATATGTTTTCGGATCATCGACAAAATTTTTTGCTACAATATTTCGAAAAGTATTTAAAAATAAATTGCTACAAAAATACTAATTAAATGGCCTATTATTATTAATTTTTATTTATTTGTCACTATTTAGTGTAGGACAATAATTTTTAAAAATTTTATTTATCTATGTATTTTTTATTAAAAAAATTAAGCTGTTTTTATAATTTGTAAATAAATTTAGTTGTGTTATTACACTTCTTTTCAATTTTTGGAGGATATGCAACTGCATATCTCTGCATATATTAATAAAGTTACAACATATTTGCATAAATTTCATGCATATTACATGATCATATTTCTCAAAATTTTGCTGCATACTTTTCGCTCTCTAGTCATGTATTATTTTTAATATAACAGCAATATGAATGTACCCTCTGGATTTGAAACAAAGGAGGGTGACATCGTCAAAATTATTTGATTTATCAAAAAATTTAGTGGACCAGTTTTCTATGATTGCGATCGTACTTATTAAAGATTTTATGTTTTTTGCTTTCAGTATCTTAATAATATTTTCAAATGTGCAGAATAATGATTAAATAATTAAGGTACGGAAGAAACGTTGAAAACAAAATTACTCTTAGTCCGGTCCTTTGCGTCTCGGCCGTCCCTGGCACGTGGCATGGTTTACATTTACTAAGCTTTATGAAGGATCGGCTGTAAAGTACTTTAAACGTCAAAGCCATAGACGCCTTATAGGTTTGAGGAAACTATACCTAAATATAAAAGTACTTCGAGTAAAGTACTTGAAGTACATACTTAAAGTACTTGAAGTATTACTTCAAGTACTGAACAGCTCTGATGCCAGATTACATTAGATCTATTCAAGATACATTTCTTGTTCAATCTGATTTGGATGCTTTTTGTTCATGGTGTACACTTAATGAATTACATTTAAATACTACCAAATGCCATTCTATTACATTTTGTAATAAGAAGACTATAATACATTTCGATTATGTACTGGATAATACTGTTATCGATCACGTTAATGAAGTTAAAGATCTTGGTGTATTATTCGACTCGTCGTTATCTTTCAAGAATCATTACCTTACTGTTATAACCAAAGCTTTCAAACTGTGGGGATTTTTATGGAGAAACTGTAAAGATTTATCTCCTGCTGTATTGAAGATCCTCTATTGCTCCTTAGTTCGACCTCATTTAGAATATACTTCATCCGTTTGGTATCCAATATACGACGTCGAAAAAGTCCAAAAAAGTTTTTAAGATGTATGGAGTTTAAACTTGGCCAGCAACATCAGAAGGGAGAATACTCAACTATTCTTAATTTCCTCAACATGTAAACTTTACATACACGTAGTCTAACTAGTGACTTAACATTTCTCCATGGGGTCATAAATAGTTCCATTGATAGTAGCTCCATTCTGGAAAAATTATCCTTCCTTATTAGTCCTCCGGAAATTAGACACACCATCAGAAGCAAGCAAATTTTTAGAATTAGTTATTTCGCCACAAATTTAGCTCGTAATCACCCCTTGAGGAGAATGATGTTAGTTGTAAATGATCTTTGTAAGCATGAAACATTTAATTTATTTGATAGTTCAAAACAAGTGTTTAAGAAGAATTTAAGATTAATTTTGAAATAGTAAAGTTTTTAATTTAGTCTTTCGTAATGAATATAATAATTTTAAGTGTTAAGTAAAAATTATTTTTTTTTATTATGCTTGTGCCAACTATTTATTTATTATGAATTATTTATTTGCTCTAATCTTATTATTTACATATTTATGTGTATTTTGTTAATGGATTTCCGTTAATAAATTATTATTATTATTACTATGTCTAATGTTTTGATAAGTAAGCAAATATTGGTCTATTAAGCCTTTTTGAAATGCATTTTGGGTTACGTTCTCAATTCTGTCGGACAAACTATGCTATTATTTGTGAATCACCTTCTATATTTGGACAAATACCGGCTGACTATTGATGATTGAGGCAAATTTGAATTTAAAATCAGGTATGCCATCATAAAATTTTAAATATGTCGCCAACCTAACAAAAAAATCGCAAATTTTAAAATAGTTATTCGGTATTTGCAATCCCATACTTACTTCAACAGACTACATATTCATCAAATACTTTAAAGTTAAAAAAAAGCGTGCCTCAGTTCATCTTTTTTGATATATTTAACATATTTAACAGAACGTGTGTTACCAGATGCGAGTCAAAAATGTTTTTCATTGTAAAAATTACGTTACTATGCTCTCATTACTACTAGGCTATATTTAAATAACAAAGGTAGAAGGCCTCAAATAACTGTTAATTTATGATATGTCTGCGCCACATAACGTCCATACAAAACAGGCGCACGCGCTAGTGATGGGCAGTTTGGGCAGATTCGTTCATAACTACGAACGGATCGTTCATCGTTCGGTCCCTACGAAGACCCGGTCCTCAAATGTCATTCATTTCGTTCACTTCGTTCTTGGTCATTCAAGGCTTCAAGGCTCAAGGATTGATGAATCATTCGGTCTTTCGGCTCTTCGGTCAACGGCCTTAGTTTCCCTTTTGCTTGGATCCGATTACGTTATAGGGAACGTCATGTGGCCATGAATAACAGTCTCGGAACTATTGAATATTCGAAAAGTGGATCAAATTTATATGTTCTGTACATACTAAACAGTTCATTTCTTTCCGTTATCGTTTGAGTTATTTACAAGTAATTTACACAAAACCATCGTAAAAAGATTCTTCATGTTTTAGTGGGACCTTCTTTTTCTTTTGTAAAAAATAAAATACTGCTGGAATTAATCTATCAAAATAGGCTGGAAAACTTATGTTCTTGGTTAACTCCGTGAATATTGAATAACATGTGATACTAGTGTTTGATACAGAACATAGAACTGTGCTGGAGTCATGGATGCAAGGATCCAACGGAGTCAAGATCCAGTTAGATCGTGTGAACGAAAGAACGACTAGTTTCCGTAGGGAACGATTTCGGTCACTCGTTCCTTTGAACGACCCGTTCAATTTGATTCGTTCGTTCACAAACGACTGAACGACACATCTCTACGCAAATAAAGTGAACGAAGTGGCCAAGAAGTCAAATTATTACACGTCGTCTGATTTTTAATAAATACAGATAAAATGGGGCAAAAGTTCCAATATGATGAAAGTGGCTCCACGTTTTTTTATTTTTTATTATCCTTTTTAGCATTAATACTCATTCCAGCTACGATATACTACTGGCCAAGGGAAAAAAAGAGAGGTTAGGGCATATTTCAAAATTTTATTAAAACCCCACAGTTCACATCCACTTGAACTTTTTGTGGAAAAAGTTCAAGTGGATGTGGACAGTGAAATTAGGAAAAACTCTCACGAGTTTTTCTTAATTTAAAATTACTCTCGCTTTTTAGATCCAGACGAAGAAAGCAAAAAATGCCACTGCCCCAACTGCGTCAAGAAAAGGGAGTACCAAAAACATGCAGATCCTTGGAAAGCTACCAAAAATTTTTTAATCAAACTAGTAATTGTAATTGGCTGGATTTTATTATTGTTGTTAGCGTACAAAGTGTCCCAGTTTGACTATGAAATGGCTAACTTTGACCCCTATGAGATTTTGGGAATACCTTTAGGTGCAAGTCAAGGTGAAATTAAAAAAGCGTACAGAAGATTGTCGCTGATACTTCATCCAGATAAGGATACAGGCAATGAAAAGGAGTTTATGAAGTTGTCGAAAGCATATCAGGCATTAACTGATGATGAAGCACGGCGAAATTGGGAGAAATATGGTAATCCAGATGGGCCTGGTGCAATGAGTTTTGGAATAGCGTTACCATCGTGGATTGTTGAGAAAGAAAACAGTGTGTGGGTGTTGGGTCTTTATGCTCTTGTCTTCATGGTTGCGCTTCCTATTGTTGTAAGTTGATGTTAAATACTAAGAAAAAGAAAATAGTCACGCTGTTTTTTTTTAAGGTTGGAACGTGGTGGTATCGCAGTATTAAATTCACAGACCAAGTTTTGTTAGACACAACACAAATGTATTATTTCTTTTTCCATAAAACTCCTAGTATGGCGCTGAAACGTGTCATCATGATTCTGGCAGCTAGTTTGGAGTTTAATAAAAAGCATAATTCAGAAATTGTGGAAAGGTTATCAGATAATGAAGAAGTCCCACAACTGATTAAAAAATTGCCAAATTTAAGTGAAAAAAATAAGGAACCACCATTATGTTACACATACAGTATTAAGGCTCGTGCTATAATTCACGCTCATTTATCTCGCATCCCTTTAAACCCCAATACATTAGAATTAGATAGGAGGTACCTAATATCCAAGTGTCCATATTTAATTCAAGAACAGGTCAATTGTGTCAATCAACTTATAGTACTAGCGTATAATCGCAGAAGTGAGAATTTATTTATTTCTCTCTATATATTTTTTTAATATATTTATTTCCAGTACAAAGACTACCAACTATTGATACAATCGAAAATTGTATGAAGTTGTGTCCTATGATTGTTCAAGCTCTGTGGGAGTTCAAGTCTCCTCTACTCCAATTACCATATGTAACTGAGGATAATCTTAAATATTTTTCAAATAAGAAGAAGCCAATCAAATCTTTACAACAATACGCACAATTGAAAAAGGAAGAACGAAGAAATATTTTGAAAAATCTGAGTGACAATGAATTTGAAGATGTTACAAAGGTTTTGGCAAATATGCCTTACATTGACTTTCAAGTGAAATATGAGGGTGAGAAAAAATATTTTTATTGGGTAATTTTGAGAATAGTTAAAGTCATATCTTTGCTTATACAGGGTGTCTTTTTTATTTGATACAACCTGTGTAACTTTTTATTTTAGAAGATAAACCTGTAGTTCTAGTTTTTATTATCACTTCCGGTAGAACCGGAAATGACGTTAACTTTGATTACGTTTAATTACGACGACGTTTATTCACATAAGTGATCCTTTAAAATTATACAAATTTGCTCAAAGAACTATATGTAGTTCATCTTTAAAAATAGAAAAATTGCAGGAGTTGTATCAAATAATAGAAACGCGTGGTATAAGGTGAAAATATTATTAAAACATATTTTTTTTACAAAAATGTTAATTAGATATCTTTATACATATGTATATATTTTCAATTTGCTTGTTACATTGTCGCACTAAACTGAACTCAGTTAATAGAGCAAAAGATTAGCGTAATCTTAAGAGAAAATTTTGAAAAAAAAACACCAGAATTTTTAAAATAGCGCTAAAATTTATAAAAACTAAAACATTTTGAAAACATTGTAAAGTAAAGAACCGGGAGGTAATTTTTTATATAATGCGATTTTAATTTAGTGGAAATTTAACGTTACATTACTTAAATAATAAGGTAATGAGGATAAAAAAAATATATTTTTTACATTTCTGTAGTAATGGATGACGAAAATCCAACGGAAGTAACAACCGGCGCAATCGTAACGGTTATAGTCACGTTAACGCGCAGAAATATGAGCAGTCTTTTCGGTAATGAAACGGTTGTTGATAACAACTTAAGTACCGAAAACGGCATCGATGGTGAAACTCCTAAAGAAGGTGGTGGCGACGCGGAAAATCAAGTACCGGCGATAAAACGTCCAGCTTGGTTGAAACAGAAACGCGGAGGCGGGAGAAAGAACAAGAAACCCACTAAACAACAACCGAAAGCCATAGTCGGAACCAAACCTAAAGTAGAAGAATCGCCTGTACCTTCTACTGAGAAGAAAAAAGCCAAAGAAGAGAACAACAAAGAAGAGGAAAGCGAAGAATCCGAAGTGAGCGACGCCGAAACTAACGATAAGTCATCAGAAGAAGATAGCGCTCAGAAGTCGAATAACGAAGATGAGGATCAGGAGTGGGAAAAGTTTAAAAAGTTGCATGAAAGAGAGAAGTCTTTACAAGGGAAATCAAAAACTTCGCATCCCGTGCATTGTCCTTTCTTCCCTCAAGATAAACAGGAGTACTGGTGGACATACATTTGCGATAGAAAGTCAAAGACGCTTTTAACAGTGCCTCATTATGTCACCAGTTTAGTAGACCAAGAAATGGTACATTTAAAGGTAAATGTGATACTTTTAAAAATATTCGTGTTATTTAATTGGTTGTTTTGTAGTTCACAGCGCCAAATTGGCTGGGAGTTTACACTTTCACGGTATGTTTAAGATCAGATTCGTATCTCGGATTTGACCAACAGAAAGACATCAAATTAGATGTGAAAGCGGCTCCTGCTGAAATTACCGAACATCCTCAATGGGAAGACCTAGAAGAAGAAGAAGGTTCAGCTAAGGAAGATGCCCACGAGTCTGAGTACACCACAGATGAAGATTTATCAGAGGGCGATGACTGATTTACTACAATGCAATCAAAGAAAGACTTAGAGATAGCATTTATGTTGTGAATAATTGTGATCAGTCTTTAATCGGACTCAACATTATTTTCACAATTATAAAAATTGGTACTGGGTTAAGGTCACTTGTATTTATATTTGTATGAAAAAGTTTTAACTTTGATGGTGTTTGACCACCTTTCTGAACCTGTGCACACGTAACTGCATTCAACCAGAGTAATGGGGATATTTTTGTACCACCACGACTTTACAGGGGATAACATCAAATTTGCATTGTATTTTCATTGTGTAAATTCATGTGTGATTTAACAAGGATGTGTATATATATAGAACTGGATAATCAATAACCATACTAATTTCTCATGTAACTTAAATTACTTATTATTTCAACATAAAACAAGTACAGTTATTTTCAATGACATTGATACGTTTTCATCGACAAATTACAGTAATCCAATATACACTCTTAGAACAATTACACCACCTGGCAACAGAGACTTAAAAAAATTAATATAATGTAAAACAATATAAAAGAAGAAGAGATATGGAGGACTGAAACACGACTTATACACAGAAAACATTCAAAGGACTTTTCTCAAAATAAAAAATTGTAAAGTATAAAATAATTCGTGGAAGAACCCCGGTTTCTTGATGATATACGTGTCATTGCTAAAACGTTGATGACGTCATCATAAAACTTTGTTATGGAAAAACTCACCCGAAACATACGCATAGCATCCTTCTTTATCTGCACTTTAACAGCCCACATAATTTTTATTTAACTTAATAGGGGTTACCATTAAAAAAATAAAGTTAGCAGGATTTGCCGAAATCATTGAAGAAATTGAATGTTGTAACACAACCGTCGCCACAAAAAATAAATAAATAAAAAACATCAGCTCGATGTATTGGAAACCAACGAAACAAATTTTGTTTCAATAAATGATCTACGAAGGCTCGTGTTATCAGAGCAATAACAATAAAGATGTAGACAATTTTAATAAAAATTCTTATGCTCATTTGCACGAACGTTTAAATTATGTTCATTTGCACCGACGTTTAAGCAAGCTACTTAAAATTGAAGCATTTCTTAAAACAATGTGTTGCACGAACGTTTAACTTTTTCTTAAAGGATTCTATGGAATCTTTGGTTTAACTTCCTATTTCCCTGAGGCTAAAATTTGTAAGCAATGGTTAACGAGACAGATACAACGCATGTACGGTGACCACGGTAACAACACAATAATTTGTTTCTATTGGACACGGAGTCTCCTGCTCTGAGCTATTGGACAATAAATTTGGTTATTATACGAAATCGAAAATTTCAAATTTTATCAGTGCTGAAAAGTGTATATGAAGTAAAAAATAAAGTTCTTACAATATAAAAATTAATATAAAGAAGGTATGTACCAATTACCACGTTTTGTTGTAAAGAATAACGTGTTTTTTTCAGATGAATAATAAAAAGTGTCAAAGAGGAGCAAGAAAAAATATGGAATTTTTGCTACGGAAGCAAATTTTGGAGTTAGACCTTGAAATGAAAAAGAAATAGCTAAATAAACTTAAAAGTAATAACATGGAAATGTAATAAAATATCTAATTAAATAGTAATATAGCACCTATTTGTTAATATTACAGATTTAAAAAAAAAATGTTATAATTAAAACTTCAAAATTCACTTCCCGTTCCTCGGTTTTGAACAATATTGACCTCTGGTATTTGACTGTCTTATAAGGCCATTTTTTATTAAACACACAATTAATATGAACCTTATTGCAATTACACACGTACAAACTGATCTAAGATTAGTAGGGTTTTCTACAGAATATGGCAAAGAATACGGGCGAAGGTACGCATACTATTGACCTAAGTAAAAAAAAAAAAAAACAACTGTTCATCCTGTATTTTTTGATAAGGTTGACATGCTACTGATAAATTGGCCAGAAATGCGGCCGGCAGTGTAAGCACTACAACCAAGAAGATGGTGAACTTCAATGTTGAAGAGTAATTTGCAATACCTAATCAAGATTTTTATGAAACATTCAAAACCGATGTAGACTACCTATATTTCAATTATTCTATCAGGGGCGGCTTGTCCCGTGAGGCAGGTGAGGCAATGCCTCAGCAATGAATTTGCTCCGTATAATTATTTTTATTATTTCTGGCCAACAAAATGTTTTTTTTTCTAATATTTTAAAAATAAACGTGAAAAATTATTGGTATTCTTATCTTGGTAGACGGATATTAGCTGTTTCGAAGAATTCAGAAGAATCTGAACAATCTGAAAGAGTGCAGGGATCTGAAATTATCTGGGAAAATTTGAAAGAATCTGAAACGATATGAAAGGTGAAAAATTCTGAGAGTATCGAAAAAATCTAAGAGAATTTAAGATTTTTTCAAATTCCTTCGAACTTTTCAGATTCTTTCAAAGGCACCATCAGAAATCCTCAAGATTGTTTAAAATTTTTTTTAGTTCTGTTCAAATTGTTTTAGATCCTTACAAATCGTTTCAGATTCCTCAAACAGAATCTAAAAAAACTGGAGGAATCTGGAAGAATCTACAGATATCTGAAACGATCTGAATAGAAAACAAACCGGAAGCATCGAAAAGCATCCGGAATGCCCAGAAAAAATAAAAAAAAATCGGAAGAGTCTGAAAGAGAGAATCAGAAAGAAAATGAAATAACCTGAAAGCATTTGTAAGAATATGGAGGAATCTGAGAGAAATTGCGAGATCGGAAAGAATCTGAGAGATTCGGAAAGTATTTGAAGGAATCTAAGGAAACCTATGGGAATCTCGAAGAATCTAGAAAAATCTGGAAGAATTTGGAAAAGTCTGCAGGGATCTGAAAATATCTGCACGGTTTTAAAACGACCTGAATAGAATTCAAAAACTTGAAAGAATGTGAAACAATCCGAAAGAATGGGGAGAATCTGAGAGATTCCAAGAAAATCTGAGGGAATATGAAACTAAGAATCGGAAAGAATTAGAAGGAATCAGAGGGGATCGGAAAGAATTTCAGGAAATCTAGAGTAGACAAATCTAAGTAAACCTGGCATATTCTGAAAAATTTGAGAGAATATAGAAAAAACTGGAATAATCTGGAACAGTCCGCAGGGATCTGAAAGGATCCAAAGCGATCTTGAAAAATTCTGAGGATATCTTCAGGGATATTGAGAGAATCTGAAAGAATAGAAGAAAATGTGTAACAAAGTGTATTTTTTCTAGAAACTTTCGCATTAATTTTTCAACATATTGGTACTAAAATTTATGGAAAACTTGATATTTTACCGTTGAGACGTTATAAACGAAGTGAAATGAATCACAAACAGAAATTAAGGCAATTTTTTTCCGAAATTCTTGATATTAAAATTAATCAAGTACGAATTAGAATTATCCATTTTTGACGTGCTTAATGTTTCTAAAATTTCATTTTTTCCGAAAAAATTTTCATGTCAACTAAAAACGCAAGCACCACAATATAATTTTTTTGACATTTAGATATGTATTGGGGCATCCTGTCCCTCGCCTCATCAACTTCTCAACTCATGAGCCGCCTCTGTATTCTATATTATGATACCATAGCGTGCCTTTGTCTTACTGAATCTCGCCTTAATGGACGTACATTGCTTCAAACACCCAGTATACCTGAGTTGATGTTTTCGATTTCGTCCGTGTACGGTGTTTTATTATTATCGTATAATTTCGTTTATAAAATCAGTTCTTTTCAGAACTATAGTTGCTTTTGGAGAGTTTAAGGTAAACTAATAAATAGGTAAATATAAAAATAATAATTGGTATATTTTCAGTGTGCATTTTTCAGTTTTTGCTGTCAAACAATGTCAACAAAGAAATAGTTCACTTTAAGAACTGTACTTGCAGGTGAAGTGAATAATTACTGGAACATTTTTTTTGCAGTCTTCAATATTTACGTCCGCAACATTTTTCATTGACCCCTAAAAGAACAAAAATCTCGACGCCACTGGTCAATTTTCTCCGCGCAGCTTTCGATTACTCATCGTGCTGTTTTCAAAAGATTTCTACTCTATTACTTTATTAGGAAATCAACTGAATTTTAAAGCTAAAAATAAATCTCCATGCAAAATAAGGTAAATATTCAAAAAACGGATGGATATGAAGAGGGCTAAAAATCTGAAAATGCTGTTAGCCCGTTATTGAGGTAAGGAAATATTCTAACCCATTTTCAATAGTTTTATTATTAATAGTTATCTACTATCCCATGTAATTAATAATAAATGGTATTTTTTGCAGTGCATCTACCGATGATGAGAGGGTAGAAAATACAAGCATCGCTGATAAGTGATAACGAAAGCGAACCTACCCACAGCTAATGGGCTTAAATACTTAAATTATAAATGATATACAATAATAAATAGAATTATTTCGTTGCTTAACTTCCTTGTTGATTTGATCATCATTTTTTTTGCTTTTCTGAATGATCAAATAATTTTGGTTATAATTTAAAGAATTCGTAAATTTAATGATTACTTATAAAACTTAGTTTGAAAAACTATGTATTCATTCGTCCTTGTTTCAAGGTTGGGTTGGTAATGATCATCATGACCACCATCCCCTCACCATCATTCATACCTCTCTACCATTAAAATCTGCGATTAAATTACAAAAGAAACCCATACGCCGCCTATGGGTTTTCTAGTATGTATGTGTTTATTTTGGTATGTATGGCAGTGATGACGCATTTTTCACTTAAATACAGGACTTGTCCGGGGAAAAGAGGACGTCTGGTAACCCTACCTTACAATGCAAACTTAAAAACAGGCCCACATACTACAAATTTAAAAAAAGGTGTCTTAAAAACAGGGCGAAAATTTATTATTTTTTAAATCTTTGAATTATTTGTTTAAAATATACCTTTAAAAATAGAGCAAAATCCTTAAAAAAGTGTCGTATGCTGAAGGAATTGCCCATAAAACAAATTACAAAAATGTACAGATGTGTTAAGTGCAAACACCACAAAAGAAATAGAATAAATTATGTTTTGATTGAAGATAAGAAAACCCAACGTCTTCATTCAAAATGACCAACTATTATTTAAAATCATGTATGTATTTTTGACGTAATATTGGTTGTATAGTTCCAATGCATTCACCTGTTTCTCAAAATTGAGCGTCGACTATCTTCAGAGTTAAAAAGTGTCCTGGTACCCTGAATTGGATAATCAATAACCATACTAATTTCTTATGTAACTTAAATTACTTATTATTTCAACATAAAACAACAAGTACAGTTATTTCACTGATGTTGATACGTTTTCATCGACAAATTACAGTAATCCAATATACACTCTTAGAACAATTACACCACATGGCAACAGAGACTTAAAAAAATTAATATAATTTAAAACAATATAAAATAAGAACAGATATGGAGGATTGAAAACACGGCTTATATACAGAAAACATCCAAAGGACCTTTCTCCAAATAAAAAATTGTAAAGTATAAAATAATTACACACAATATGTTTGTCTTAGAAATGGCCTAATAAAATTAAAATTTGGTAATTCACTAATTAAAAGAGCTCTTCGTTCCTTAAAAGAGGTGTCTTCGCTACTTCAAAGAATATCTTATGTGAATACTTGTTTCGCACAGTTATCAGAGGATTTTTCGGCTTCTTGTGTAAAGCATCGTTCAACAAAACGACCACGTTCTTGAATTCTTCTAGTTTGTATCCTACAAATGAAATATTTAATAACTTCAAGAAATCAAATGGCTGATTTAGCAATCGCAGATCGCATAGGACGTAAACTGTTGGTTATTAGCAGAGTTAGGCATAGCTGAAGTGATGGGGAATTAATCAGGCAAATATTGAATATCATGGCGCGACGTCAGGCGATAAATTTGGCTGACCGATTGTGCATTCTCATCCTCAGTGGCGTTTGATGCAATTCAGGGTTTATTTGATCAAGATCATCACGAAGATCATGATATTGAACAGTCATTTTTAATTTTTAAAGGAATTTTAACATCTAGGAGAACTCGTATAACTGGGGAAACCTAGAAAAAGTAGTCATTCTTATTCGAAATTCCCGAAGTTGTAGGCCACGACTGCAATAGCGCTGGCGATCGGATGGCAATAAACATCACTTCCGCTATGCTGAAGACTTGTCATTAGAAAGGTAGTTAGTGGAACTACGTGAACAAATGGTTTTTCCATTTTTGGACTAATTTGGTTTGTAAAAGTCGGGTGGTATGTAATCTGTGAGGTTCTAAAATAAATGTACTTTTCACCACGTGCTAATAGTAAAAAAAGCTAAATAATGAAACAATAGAAAAAATCCGGCTGCTGTACAAATGAATTTTATAACAGGATCTTGGTATGAACTGATACTGCTCTTGTATTGAATATCTTAACTGATCTACTGCTGCAAACTGATTCATGATTTTATTATTTCCTGTTTTTGATTCCCTTCTTGCTTCGTTAAAATTAAAAAATTACTGTGTGTAAACTTTTAAGTCGTGTTAATGTTTTTTTTTTACTGCGAATTTCCAAATTATTTTCGATACAAGTTTAGTTTACATAAGTTTTTACAGATTTTGACAGTTTTTGAAGCTCAAGAAGTAAGTTTTCTAAAAAAAATTGGTCGAAGGTTATTTCGACAGAACTTTCCTCGCCCTTGAAGGGCAGCCCAACAAATGTTGCAAAACCAGTGACGTTAATAAAACTCCCACAGCAAATTGCAAGAGGACGCGGTCCGAAAAAGTGTGAACAATATGAAATATATTTAAGGTAGATAACCAACGGGAAAAAATATTTTTCGAAAAATCAGAAATTTTAAAAATCGAAAAAATTGGAAAATTCGAAGTCTAAAAATCGAGTAGTCGAAACATCAAAAAATCGAGAAATGGAAAGATGAAAAAAATCGAAAAATTGAAAAACCTAAAACCGAATAATCAAAAAATTGAAATCCGAAGTCGAAAACTCGAACATTCAAACGTCAAAAATTTGAAAAATCTAAAATATCGATAAATTTAAAAATAGAACTATCGAAAAACTGAAAAAAATCGAGAAATCGAGAAACTGAAAAATCAAAAATTTCAAAAACTGAAAAATTAAAATATCGAAAAATTGAAACATGTAAAATTTAAAATATCGAAAAATTGAAAGACAAAATATCGTCTAACTGGAAAAAAATTGAGTACCACGAAACCGAAATATCTAAAATTTAAGAAACTTAAAATTTAAGCCATCGAAAAATTAAAAATCGAGAAATGGAAACATGAAAAATTCGAAAAATTGAAAAACTAAAACCGAATAATCAAAAAATTAAAAAAATTGATATCCGCAGTCGAAAAATTGAAAAATCTAAAATTTCAAAAACTGAAAAATTAAAACATGAAAAAATCGAAAAATTGAAAAACCTAAAACCGAATAATTAAAAAAATGATATCCGAAGTTGAAAAATCGAACAATCTAAACGCCAATAATTCGAAACATAGAACTACTGAAAAATTGAAAAAAAAGGGAAATCGAGAAACTGAAAAATCTAAAATTTCAAAAACTGAAAAATTAAAATATCAAAAAATTGAAAAACCAAAAACCGAATAACCAAAAAATTGAAATCTGGAGTTGAAAAATCGAACAATGTAAACGTCAAAAATTTGAAAAATCTAACAGATATAAAATATCGAAAATAGAACTACCGAAAAACTGAACAAAAAAATCTAGAAACCGAAAAATCTACAATTTCTAGAATTGAAAAATTAAAAATCGAGAAATGGAAACGTGAAAAAATCGAAAAATTGAAAAACCTAAAACCGAATAATCAAAAAATAAAAAAATTGACATCCGAAGTCGAAAAATCGAACAATCTAAACGTCAAAAATTTGAAAAATCTAAAAATGTAAAATATAAGATATCGAAAAATTGAAAAATTGAGCTACCGAAAATCTGAAAAAAGAGAAATCGAGAAACTGAAAAATCTAAAATTTGTAAAATGTTATAAAAATCTAAATGCCCGAGGTGAAAACTCAACACAGATTTATATTCCACAAATGGAGGAATACGTTATTTTATAAAATTTAAATAACATTTGCTATTGCAAAATTTGGAGATGACGTCATTGGTGGCGATGAACAGACAAATTTTGGTTAGCCTTTTACACAACATCTAACATACATACAAAATTTGACAACAATCGGTCCGGTAGTTTCGGAGATTATTTGTCTAATAAAATCCTGAGACAAACAGAAGCAGGAACCTATTTTAACTTAACTTAATACTTCTACTTAATTGTCACCAAAGATTGTCACAATAAAATGATAATGACGGGCCGCAACCATTTGAATTTTTTCTTGAGTTGTATAAATGGACCATTTTTAATGTCAGGTGACTCAAATTATGAAAAATGTTAAATGATTAAAATGATGGAATGATTTTAATTGCATTATTTTTATTTCTTTGGTTCTAAAAATGATCAGAATTTGTAAAAACTGATATGAACTAAGCGTGTATCAAAAAGAATTTAGAAATTCGCAGTAAAAAAACACTTTAGGCAGGATACACGCGAAATCTTTTATTAAAACAATTGCGTAACTAGCGTTTGAGCGAAGAATTTTGTAAGGTTGGCAATCTGCAGAAACGTCAAACACATTACATAAGCAGTGTCCGTCAATATTCAAACGTGATGATTAACGCCCCGGGTTACAGTAAAACTTAATAAACATTTAACCAGTTGTTAAAATGAAAATGTAACAAAATCTTGTTCTAATATTCAGCACGATTGTTTAGGAAATCGTTAATTCCGTACAAAAATCGTGTATCCATTATTAAATTTTCCAAGGAGTGTCAAAAACACGTGGAGTAATGTAACACTAAAAATTTACTGCAACTGTGCTATAAATTAGGTGTATGTTTTTTTTTCTGTAACGTTTTCTGTATCGCTATATAATTGGAAATTGGGGGAACACAATCATTAAACTATACAATTTTTTTATGGTATGATTTTGTGTTTCAAAATTTACCTGAATAAAATTCTAAAGCTGCTGACCATCCGCCGGTTTTCTTCATTTTTAGAGCTAAATACAACGCCGCCGCCGCTAATTTTGAATCACGAACAGTAACTGTGGCATATTCCATCAAAGAATGTTCTAAAATGAACCTGGCTAAAGTGAGCAGAGGCATTGTTATTTTGGCACACTAAAAAATACAGTGAAAAAAGAATTCATAATGTATGTAAAATTACTACTCTAGCATATCTCCTGAGAAATCTGTAGCTGAGTGGTATACCCAAGTTAAAATCACAGACTTTCAATAAATTGATTTCCATGCGGATGAGTTCCTCACGGGTGTACGCCCCATCACAAATATATAGGAAATCAGCAATTGCTGGAGGGGCTCTCTCATCATATTTACTAGCAATGAACATGGCAGTAGCACCGACTAACTGCAAAGTCTCTTTGCCCACAGTCATCCGACTTAGATATAAATCAACCAATTTCACGCCCAAGTAGAGGGTTTCATGGTTTAGTTCAAAACTCTCTTGTACTTCAACCATCCAATCCACCAATAAAGATCGCATCCAATTTGTTAAACATACTTGTCTGTCCATGTAATCCGGAATTTCAAACATCGCCTAAAATTTTTTATGAGTTGTAATGTAAAATCACGAATATCTACTTCCTCACTTCTCTATTTTTCATATAGTTAAAAATATCCATCGCATAATGAGAAACTTGGACTGTATCATCCCAGTTCTCTTTATCAAAGTCGGCGACACCCTCAGGAACTTCATGGTTTCCCAAGTTTAACTTTGTTTGAAGCTGTTCTGCCACCAGAGAAACCGCCGGCGAATTAATGACTTCTTTATTCTTTGCTTCAGTTTTAGTTGTTTCTTCCTTCACTTTACTCCCACTGGAACTAACGGAATCATTGCTAAAAACCACCAACTTATTAATTAAAAATTTCTATCACGTGACTTACAGTTCTTCAAGTGCTGATGAATACAAAGACTCTGAAGTTTTCTCAAATTCATTGCTCAGTCTTGTTTTGATTCTATTCGCGTTTGCCAAAACCTCTTTAAGGGGGTCCTTGGGTTTCACAGCCGTCTGATTAGTGCCCACACTTTTAACAGCGGCAGCTCTAGTAACAACCCCTTTAATGCAAGGGGGTGGCGCATTTTCGTTTTGTTTTGTTTTAACAACAGTCTTTACAGATGGCAGTGTTTTCGTTTGTACAATTGCTTTCTTGATGGGCTGTTTGACAGTCACTTTTTTATCATCTTCCGCTTTTGCGTTGGTATTGAGATCGCCGAGTGCACTCCTCTTGACTTTTTCTTTCACGGGGGAAAAATCGGCTTTCCGTTTAGCTCGCTTGTCGTTTTGCTGCATGAAAGTTGTCGACCGACTTCTTGTGGAGACTGCGGCGGCTTGGGTCTTTTGAGTCGTTCGACTAGTTAAGATAGCTTTGCTTATTTGTTTTAGGGGAGCCATTCCTGAAAAAGCCTGGAAGCTTATCATTTGAAAGGGTTTGATTAGAGTTTTGTAAACATACCTCATTCACAACTTTCATTATTTATGAAGGGGTTATAGAGTGCGTGTGCGAAAAATGATGATGGACCGTCTATTAAATAAATATAAAGCAAGAAATTTTGGCAATGAGTAACATTTATTTCACGTTTGTGCAGTAAACTATGCAGATTAATGACCACAGAGGTTTGTTTAGTAAATTTGTTTTAATGTTAGTAGCTTTTAATCACCAAAACTTGATGGAAACTAGATAACACTAAACTACACCCTTCTAAATGTTATCTACAGTTTACCGCGTTTTTGCACAACTTCGCTTTCAACACTGTTAAATTGAAGAATAAAGCAGTAATACACTTTTCAGATTACTTTATATTTAACGAATTACGATGAATATGGAAAAAATGCCACAAAAACATTAGGGGCAAAAAATCCGTTAAATGTCGCTACATTAGAAAAACGTTAGATCTTGAATTAAAGTTGTTCAAAAAATGGTAGCCACTACTAATACTCACTAGAATAACAGTTAAAGAGTACATACCTTCTAAAAGTGATTCAAAATTTTTGGTAGAAATTTGTAGAAATTTGTGTAAAATTCACATGTGAAGTTCGTTGATGTTTAAAGCTTGTCGGCTTGCAGTTGTTTTGAAACGTTTTTAACTGGGGCAAGTTCATTGGTCGTTATCATTTGTGGAGGGGATGTCAACAAAGCGGCAACTTTTAAATCAAATTTTTTTCGTTAACCGAAATTGCAACATATTTCTGAAAAATATATTTTCGTTATCAGAAACAATACAAAGGTATATATTGCGCCAAAAGTCGACAAATTATTAATTTACAGCAACAAAACAAAAATCTGGAAATATAATCGCGAAGGCGACATCTACTGGTTTCCAAATGGTACATATTTCAGCCGGTAAAAACACAATCTGTGGAAGTATTTCAACCACTTGTCAATCGTCACCGTTTCGTACTTTGGATTTTGGATTTGAGTTTATTTTCTCAGTGTTAAATGAAAATAAGAAAACCGACCCACCACATGACCACCTTCAGTACTGGCTAAGTTTTTGCATGTTCTGTATTCGCTGTCATACGTGGAAGTATCAAAATGTTCGATGGTTTACTGACTGTCAGATACCTAACCTCAAAAAATTGTTTTTGTACACTCTCAGTTAACAATTTTAAGCACTTGCAAAATGTGAGTATTGATTTATTGTTGCTCTTGAATGACTTGTTTTTGTTTAAAGAATGTTCTCGAATTGCATTATAATGATAACGCTACGGCACATGTTTCGGTCGCCCCCTCGTCGGCACCGTTTGACGATCAAAGTATTGGTATAAATTCGTTGTTTGCGAAAACGTTGGGTGTTGACGAAAATTCATTAGTTGCTGTTAGAGAAATCGTGCAGGCTCCAACGATTCAGAGTGTGACAGTTACTACACTTGATGATGATGACTATAGTGTTTTGGTATTTAATTTGTTTGTAAGTTATGTTGGGTTAATTGTGTGTCATTTAGGAGTCATTAGCTGAAAATGTTCAGTCAACTTTACTCGAACAGATACGTGTTCTTAATGAAGGTCAAAAGTTTATAGTATGGATTGGAAAAACAATCCATGTCACAGTATCTGTTTGTATGTGATAAAAATATCGTATGTTGATTTAGCTTCCAAGTGCTTGTTTTAGGTAGTATAAAACCGATTTCGCCGGGTAAAATTGATAATTTAACAGAAGTGGTGATTAAACCGCCAGAGAAAGAGTTCAAACCTATTCAGAATGAACCTGTTGAAGATAAACAGACACAAAATACTTGTACTAAAAAAGCGCCATTTGATTTTTTGGCGGAATATATGAATAAGACAGAAACTTTGATTTTAAGAGTAGTGCCTTTTAAAGATTTAGCTCAAAAAATTGGGAAACTGTGCTTCCCCTTTAATGTTTTTGTATCAAGAAGTGTCATTCCACAAATTGAAGGAGACACAACTACTAATCTAAACATTTTCATGTTGAAACTTTTAAGTAGTGAAAGTGAAAAGTCAGTTCATGTAAGATTAATTATTTTTGAAGATTTTCTTCAAGATTTCAAGTTAAATAAAATTTGTTCAGAAAATATATTTGTTAGCGATGTTCTTCAAGAGTATCTTAGTTGTGATATTGGATGTAGAGTAATGCTAGAACCTTACCAAGGGCCTACGCCAGATGTTAAAGATTTAGAAATTTATACTAAGAAGAATTGTTCTATTGATATTGTTCAGACTTTCCAGCAATATCTAGCTGATAGTTGTAGAGAACAAGAATTTGTGTTGAATTCAGATGTTGTGATAGACGTTACTAATAAGTTAAGGTGCTTTATAAGATGTCAGCCCTGCAAGTTCAGGTTTTGTGTTGTAAATCCAGATTTTGTGAGGAATTGTAAATTGGTTGTTGTTAACGAAATTTTACCTGAAAGAGAGGTTCTTGAACAAAATGAATTTACTATGAGCAAATACACGACTGCTGTGGCGAATTATCAAGATATAATTGATAAATGTTTATTTTTGTTTGCTTACAACACAAAGGTTTTCAGTAAAATGTACAACGTCCTAATAACAGGTACTTGATTAGAGAACGAAGAACTCTTGATAAAATTATAATTGTAGGGAAGTCAGGTACCGGCAAGACGACGCTGTTAAAAACTATAACAAACATTATAAATTCGTTTCCTTATTTTATTTTCACGAAAAAAATTAATTGCAAAGCTATTAAAGGAAAGACTGTCGAGTCTTTGCATAAGTTATTTTCAACAACATTTTTTGATTTAATTCATCATCAACCCTCGGTTCTAATTTTGGATGATATTCACATTTTATGTGAAAATGTAAATGAAGGTGATGGACTTGCTCAACAGGCCGTGTATTTTAACAGGTAAGATACATTTTTTCGTGTAACTTAATATCTCTAATATATTACCAGGGTAAGTGAAATGTTGGAAGGATTATTTAACCAATTTTGTGAACATAACGCTGTCGGAATTTTGGCAACTACGGAGTCCACTTCCAAATTAAATAAACACATATATGCGACACGGGGTAATCATTTATTTAAAAATGTTTACAATATTGATCAGTTACAAAGAGTGAGTGAATCATTTGCATGTTTTGTAAGTACTGAAATTTTGTTTTTAGAATGATCGATTAAAGTTATTTGATTTTTTTTTCACAAATAATGAACTTGAAAATGTCGATTTGAGAAAGTATGTGGAGAAAACAGAAAGTTTCGTGATGCAGGATATGGTCGACTTGGCTAACAAAACATTGTTTGAATCTTATCAAGAGGGTAATATGATATACAGGGTGTTTCAATTTAATAAATTATATATTGAGCAAACTGACGAGTTTTGTACGAGTTATATACAACACGTTCTGTACTGAGGTTACAATTTATGTAAAAATTTGTTGTGTTGATGTAACAAAATTTTGCTTGCATGCTTAGTAACCGATTACTGTCAATTATCAATAAATCACAACTTCAGCAGAAAAAAAGTTGTGTAGAACTCGTCAGTCTAGAAAAATTAAGGGTTTTATTATGGTGTACGAAATCTCGTTGAGACACCTCGATTTCTAGATCCTGATCAAACTGTGCTGAAAATAACCGCAGACCATATCGAAACGGCGCTAAAAACAGTAACTGAAACGTCCTTAGCAGGCGTTAACTTGCACCCGCTAGGAGAGAAAACTTTGGACGATATCGGTGGCCTAGCCGATGCCAAAAAAATTTTACTCGAGACTATGTTGTGGCCGGCGAAAGTGCGTTGTCGACTTTTCGGCTGCTTTCGAAATAAAAATGACAATTCTTTTAGTACCCTGATTTGTTCACGAAAGCACCCCTTCGTTTACCGTCTGGTTTGCTCCTTTATGGACCTCCAGGTACAGGTAAAACTTTATTGGCAGGAGCAGCTGCCAAACATTGCGGCCTTAGGTTAATTTCCATAAAGGGACCGGAACTTTTATCCAAGTATATCGGAGCCAGCGAGCAAGCCGTTCGTGATGTATTCCAAAGGTGAGAACTGAGATGCGGCGAGCTTGTAATTGGCGATTTATTTCTTCCTGTTTGTAGAGCACAAAGCGCCAAGCCATGCATATTGTTCTTCGACGAGTTCGACAGCTTGGCTCCCAGGTGAGTGTGTGTCATGTGTGTGAACCTGCGGATGGGCTATACATGGGAGTGGGATTTTGAATATTGAGTAGCGATTGACTGGACATTGAATATTAATAGGGATTTAGGGACGTGACAGACAGTCGTTGAACGGGGAAATTCAGTAGAATGTGGTTGAAGATCTCGACCTTATAACTTCTCTGGTATCGTTTTATCCATAACGAGTTTAAATATTTAACACTAACTTAACAGAAAACGATGGATCGCCTCTGTCTGAATTAATATAATTATACAGGGTAATTGAAGTATAAACTATCAACATTTACGAACGCTTTGATATGCTAAGTACAATTGTAGAAATATTGAAATTACACGTGTAATGATTAAACAAATGAAATTAACTAGAAAACATGTTTTAAATCTGATCTTAGATGCATATTAAGAAAGACACAGCGCTATGAAACTTGGATACAGTCGGAAGGATGTGTTAATTAAACTAAATTTTATTTATTCATCCTCTTCGGAAAATTATTGACGTCATCATAAAAATTCGTGATTTAGTAATATGCGTCTAGTTTCTTATTATTGTTTATACCGTGTGTTCAAAAATGGGTATGAACTTATTGTTTTGTTTATTGGCTCAGTATACTGTTAAAATTAATATGTTTATCCCCACTAAAAACTTAATGACGTCTTACACTAAGTTGATAAATTTTGTATTGAAAAATATCCTATAAAGTGTGTAGGAATTGTATTAATTGTTTTAGAAGCGTACAAACTTAACGAATTTATTGTATTACATATTTCAATATTTCAACAGTGTTTCATCTAAATGTTCTGATGAACCGTGGTAATTTTAAATCTGAAGTTTAATATGTCTATATTTACCAAAGTTGATGATGTCATGTTAAAAAAAAGTTTTGATGAAAAGTCTGTTAAAAATTAGGAGCCGTTACGAAAAAAAAGGGTTTTTGGCAGAACACTATTTTTAACAAACATGATACAGAATAAGCCCTAATATACATCCTGAGTCAATGAGTTCACGTTTCTCGATATTGATTATTAGAGTTAAAAAAAGACCACAGTTGTACGGCTTTTTGAACGCATAAACTAAAGTTTTAGTTTCAACTATGCAGACTGTTTTTTTACGGTTTGTGGTGAGTCTATTAAAAATGTGAAAAATTGCGGAAACTATCAGCTTTAGATATAGGAGATTTTTATTAAAAAATAAAGAATAAAAAATACAGTAAGGCTCAATCATAAAATACATGCTCTAAAAAAAAACCCACATACAGAGTCATCTCAATTGATTGAGAGAGTTGGTACTCCCTGTTTTTGTCGTGAAGTTTGTCAACCTTATGACAGATTTTTTTAGGGTTATATGGCAATGAACTCAGTGGCGTGACAAAAGAACTGGGGTTTGATTGTTGAACTCACCTGAATCAGTTGCGAATACGAAAGTTACCTTCTTGGAAAGTTGCGAACAGTTTTAACGTTGGTACGAATCGTCTTGGTCGATGCGCACCCTATGCCTTATTGGTACTTGCATCCTTGAGAACAAATTCCAGAAATGAATGGATCTAAAATCCGTAACTTCAAATCTGACAACTAATATAAAAAAAAAAAAAACGAAAAAAGACGCCACTGAGTTTTGAAATTTGAAAATTGAAACTTCAAATCTGACAGCTAATATTTTTATACAACTTAATAAACCAAATTATTCAAGTTCAGGTTTACCAACTCTCTCAATCAATTTTGATGACTCTGTATAATAATTATTTTGTTTATAAACACTTTGCATACCAAGACTCAATTTTATTTATACAACCAAACGGAACGCACCTTTATTTATCTGTTTATAAAATATTGCAACACAGATGTTAAAAATATACTTTTTTAAGAGACCATTACAATCATCTCGTCCACAATAATGTCCAACGAAGTGTCATTTTGTTGTATTGAAATGTCCAAATTACGTTTTTTGGACTCACTTGTCACTTTTTTAGACTGACTTTTCACTCCCTTGTACTCAGATGTCGAAAACTTACGTTTACGTCCTTGTTCTTGTGTTTTTGACCAACATCTTTTTAAATAAAAACGCCAAAAGCACTGTTATTTGAACTCTACCTTTATTGACGGCATAATTGTTTTTTTGTTAATAGAACAACAAAGTAGCACTTTGGTTTTTATCAAATCTGCAGACCGAAAAAGATTTTCTAACCTCAAACCACTTTTATAACCAATCATTTTTCTATATGGTCGCCTGAAAAACGTTGTGTGTACCTCGGCCAAACAGAACCTTTTCGGATACTTAAACTTCAGATGGGCCGAAAAAGTTCTTTTATGGCCTAGATACACAAATAACTATATTACCATTTTGAACTGTAAAAAAATAAAATGGCAACGTTGAAGTAAAATTTCAAAAGCAAAATAAAACCTTAAAGAGACGCTAATCAGGTCATGTAAAATACACTGCGTTTCAAATAAAATGCACCACCTAGAAGGAGTAGGCGTAGAATGTTGAAATTTGGTGGAGAAGACTATTGCACGTAGACAAACATTTGATTAAAATTTCAAAGAAAAAATAAAATGTCTAACACAAGAAATGTTAATAATGTGTTAAAATTCCACGTGCACGAATACAAGACTGTATTCTTCTAGGCATGCTTAAAATGAGATGATCTATTGCCTGCTGGGGTATCTCATTCCAGGCATTTTGAATTTGTTGTAGACATTCTTCCAAAGTCTTTGGAGGATGTGGTAAATTGCGCAGCCTTCTATGCATTAAATCCTAAACATTTTCGATTGTTGATAAATCTGGTGATAGGGCAGGCCAGGGTAAGAAGTTGACGTTATTTTCGTCAAACACTCTTTAAGTTAATATGGCCACATGAGGCCACGCATTATCTTGTTCAAAAGATGTTCTTCGACGGTTCGAGAGATAAGGAAAAAGAAATTGATTTAACACGTTAACGATGTAATGCCGGGCATTTAGCGTGCCTGGAATGAACACTAAGGGAGTACTTCAACAGATGTGTATACCATCCCATATCATTACTCCAGGTGTTAGAGCGATATGACATCTCTGTACAAATTCCAGATTTTACCTTTGGCCTCAAGGCCTTCGAACACGTATGCGTCCATCAGAGTGCCACAAACAAGACCTAGACTTGTTCCTAAACATTATGACATTCCACTATTACAGCCATTGCTGCCTGTCTTGGTACCAGTGAAGCCTGGTAGTTTTGTGTTCTTGTGGTAAGGGAAGTTTGCAGTTTGGACGATAAGATCTCAAGCCAAAGGAACGAATTTGGCTGTAGATGGTACTCCTCGGATTCTGTGCCCAATTGCTGTCATCCAGTCCATCCCGACTGATCGTTATGGTTACCAAGGGTACTGAATAACACTTCTTCTTAGCAAATGATCTTCGCGTTCTTGGGTGACTCTGAAACGGTCGGTACCCCTGCGACGCATTTGTAGCTCTTCGTTGTTCCATTCTCGACTTGTTCTTAATATCGTAGAATCCGTTGGGCCGAGTCTTCTGGTGATTTCCCGAAATGGTAAACTAGCCTCATGCATCCCAATAATTCGCCCTCTTTCAATAGGTGTTATCTGTTGAAAATTACCTCGTGTGCGAACTCGTAGCATTTTTGCAAGCACAATAATGACAAATGTCAAGTAAAATTGCAAAAGAATCTTACTCAAGTATCTTTAAAACATAATCAAAAAATTAATAAAAATCGAATAACACTCGGTATATTATCTAAACAAGTAGTAGTTTTTCTTTCAAATTTTAATCAATTGTTTGTCTATATGCAACAGTCTTCTCCACCAAATTTCTACATTCTACGCCTACTCCTTCTAGGTGGTGCATTTTATATGAAACGCAGTGTATATAACGTGTTACATTTAAAAATACCAAGGTCAAGGTGTATGCTGCTCCTCAAAAAATAGAACACTCTGTATATTTGAAAATAATTTTAGTTGATCTTATTCAAAGATCCGTCAACTTTGACTTTTGATTTTTTTTCACGTCCCGAGCGTAAGCTAAGGAAGCATTGTAATCGAGTCCATCGCGCGACTGACTACTTTCATGTTTTCTCGACGTGTCATGGCCTTAGAGTACGAAAAAATAGGTTACCCGTTTCCGTCTGTTTGCCGTCTGTCCGGATTTTTATTAGACAGCTAATTCTGAAACTACCAGACCGATGCATGATAGGAATGGCGTGTAGATGGTAAAACCCTAATCAAAATTTGTCTGCTCATCCCTACCAAGAAAGGAATGATGTTATCTCCAATCTAGTGAACAATTAACTAAAAATTATTTTGGAAAATATCAATTGCAGACCAGATTAATTTATGAAAAGTTGGCGATTCTACTTTTTAGAAATATTTTAAATGTTTGTAAACTTTTTTTTTATTTATTGCAAACAAATTTTTGTGATGCATTGCACTGTAAATTTATTACCTTTTTTAGTAATTGGGTATATCATATAACGGGTGTTCAATTGAAAAAGTCATCAAGTTGGCGTTATTTTTTTGATAAACGCAACGAAAAATGCACGTGTTTTATAATCTATACTGTTGTGCATAATTGACATTTCCGTGTTCTTAGATGTCATTGATTAAATTTTAGGCTTATTGTAGCCATATTTGACCAGCTTGATGACTTTTTCAATTGAACACCCGATGTGTCTGGCCAAAACGGCAGCGTCAAGGATTAAACTAAGGAACTTTTTAATTACTTCCTAATCTATATCGTATAGGCGGCTTTCTCCATTAAGCCAAACATTAGAAAGTAATTAGTAAGTAGTTTGGTTTATTTTGAGTACACCAAGTGAGTGTTTAAAATATACGGTCACAATGTAATTGACCTTTTCTAGATTTAAAGGATTGCATCAAACTCCTTCAGGAAATATGAAGGAACTTTATTTTTTGTATCGCATTTAAATAAGGCATATTTTCTTCCATTCATCAAATGATAAACCGTCCTTTACATTTGGCAGGTTTATATTTCAGTTATCTTTTGGTGCATGTCCACTTATGTAATAGGTCTACAATTCTTTTATAAATGATAATTCAACAAATTTAACCCAGTTGTTAATTGATCATTTAGTAGAAACGAAGAATAGTGTGTTTTTTAAACGACATGAATACAACTAAATTTTGTGGTGTTCGAAAAAAGTGGATCGAATATTAAGTAGGTTACGGTTGGAGCAACAGGAACACCCTTCCCTTGTACATGTATAAGTTAGAAAAATAATGCTTTATAATAAAAAACGTGGAAATTCTAAACCTTTCATGATATTGTGTAACAGGAGGGGTCATGACAATACCGGAGTTACTGACCGCGTTGTGAATCAACTCTTAACTCAGCTAGACGGCATCGAATCCCTTTCCGGTGTATTTGTTCTAGCCGCAACTTCTCGTCCCGACCTCCTCGATCCCGCTCTTTTGCGGCCAGGTCGTTTGGACATTCACATTAGATGTTCATTACCTGACGAGGTACATATTTCATTCTTGTGTTTTTCAGTATACCGTATTAGTGTTGATTGTAGATCTCGCGACTAGAAATCCTAGAAGCCCTATCCAAACCCTTAAAGTTTTCCGATGACGCAAATCTAGTCCTGCTGGCTCAAGCGACCGAAGGTTTTTCCGGTGCGGACCTCCAAGCCGTACTTTACAGTGCCCAGCTGGAATCTGTTAAAGGTCTCCTAGAAGACGAGGTGAGTAAAGTGAAGCAATTTCGCGTTAAGCCGTTTTCTTAGGCTTTATTGGACAAGTTAGTGAGATAGGCGTCTTGGTTTGCCGCTAACTACTCTAGGCACATTACACGATAACAATATCATTCGGATTATACAGCGCTAGGTAGTATCTTGATTGCTTTATAATGAGAAGTAAGTATTGAGCCTGCCGGCGCAGTCGTTTCCTTATTGACGTCACTTCCGTCGATTCGTACTGAAGAGGTATCGCATAAAAACCGTGTCATCAATCGATCAACGACAATAGGTATCGCTACAACTTCGCAGCAATAAAAGCGATATCGGCAAAATCAAAAGAAAATGGGTATTTCTATTTCGCGGCTCAAAACTAAATTCCGTTAATGGAGACGGCTAATGACTCAAGCAATTATTGCTCTAATAGATGTCGCCCCCTCTCGTTGTTTTAAGAGCGACGAATTCTGACAAGTATACGCATTTTAAAGGGAGAATCCCGCGGGTGCGTTTTGCAGTCTTCCTAAATGACTATTTTAGCTGGATTTTGGGGAGTTTACGTAAATGCATGCACAACTAAATGTCCTATTTTAAGATGAATAAACTTCGCCTGACTCAATTCTTGTACTAGGTGAATCGTAAAAAGAGTTAATTAAAAAATAACTGAAGATGAGTTTTTAACATTTTTTTTAAAAAGAAGGTATGTTTTTAATGGTGTGATGTTATTAGCTATTATTAACTTACGTAATAAAGCTTATGTAATCGCGTCTTTATGACTTTTTTATCTTGTAATATGGTATTTTGAATTTGTAGAGTGTTTTGAAACTAATAAATATTGAAAGTAGACATCATTCAGCACCCTAATCTTTACAAAATATTTCACGTTAAAAACTGGTTATTGAAAGTCAAATGAAAATTATGTATCAACCCGACTGCACTTAAGATATTAATGATGAAACAATCCATGTTGTAAAGTATATTCGGTTGCCTACTTAGTCTCCGAATCATAAATCCAACGCCTACTACAAGTATATTTTTTATTGTACACCTGTTAGGACTTCAAGAAACTAATAATTACAGTCGAACTTCAAGAACCACAAACAAAATCGATTATATAACAAAATTAATGTTTATTAATAAAGTACATTTTCGAAATACATATAAACATGCATATACAATTTTAGTTATTATACTAAATCGTTCAGCAGACGCAGTGATCACGTGGAAGATGCATGAACAGTCCATGCTAAAGTCCTGTTGAATATAATCAGGCTTCAAGTCACTTTGTCTAACCAATGGAAATACTAGATTTGTTATTAACGCGTTGATCACTAGCCTTTATTATTATTTCATCTGTTTGGCGATTCTAGTATAGTTTGTTTTCCCTCGTTTGTACTAAAATCTATTCCATAAGATATTCCATAAGAAATCTCTTATGGAATATCTTAACGTTTCCAGGGCATTGTGAGCCATTAATTTTAATAGTATGTGTTGTGTACGTATGAAAGGGCCTTAACCGGTTTGGTTGAAGTCTAGATGAGGTGCGCATGCGTAGGACGGAATCGATAGAGAGATAGTCAGATTGTAATGGTGGATCGATGTGTAGAATCATGAGTAATAAATGTGAATAGAAAAGTAAGCGATGTCTATTAGAACCCACACCCAGACATAATAGTATGTACTGCGTCCATAAAACTACCTATTGAAGTGTGACATCATGAAATTAATTTGAGACATCAATTTGTATCAAGGAATTTGAGTTCCCGGGGTTCGAGTTATCGAGATCCGACTGTTCTGTAACACTTTGGAATAAGTTTGTTACTGGAATGTGATCAAAACTAAAGTGATTAAATACCTGGCGGTATGCTTACTGGAAAAGTCGAAGTTTTGTATTATGTTGCGTCTTGAAATTGTATGTAGGCAACCCCAAAAAATATTTCAGATTTTTAAAAAGCAAACTTAACTTTAATAAGTCAGTTTGCAACGTATTGTTTAAAAGACGATGTCTATGTTGTTAACATTTTTACGTTGGTGGTGTAAAATTCCCTAGAATGAAATGGTACTTAATTCTAAAGTAACGCATGCGTATCAAGAGATATGTACATTTAATATGTATAATGGTGCAAAACAGCGACCGTTTTTTGTTTTTACCTGTCAAAAATATTAAACTGTAACGTTTTTGTCGCCAAATTAACCTAATATTCATCTTTAAAGTTGTCACGTTTATTTTTTTGGTAAGTTTATTGTTGGTGAATCTTTAATAAATGTAAGTTTATTTTTGTTCATTTTTCTTCGATGGTCTGGGTTGTGAGCTATTTGACCAGGTTTTATGTAAGTTATGCCATTTGTAGCAATGTGTTCAAATGTACATACAATGATTGTATGTGATTCGTGTTCCAGTTTGTCTAATTATTATTATACAAGTAATTGGCATAAGTGAGAATTGTTGTATGATAAGCATCAATAGTTGACGAGGTTTAAGCCATTTTTTCTTAATTTCGATTATGATGTGCAGTCGTTTGTACGTGCGATTTGACCGTTACTGATACAAATAATAAAGTATTAAGCAATCATTTTTTACATATCCTAAAATTTCGTTTCTAATCAATTGTAATCAGTAATTATAGCTATAAATTTGACAGCTGTCACCACGTAGAAATGGTGAGAATTGAATTATATTTAACAAATAAGGCGTGTATTCGTACTTAAGGTCTACAAGCACTAAATTTTCTAAGGTAATAAGCGGAACAGTTAGAAAACGTCTTGAGCATACGCACTAATTTGTAATGCACAGCTGTGTGCAGTCCTATATGTTGTAATCGTGGGAACTTAATGTTCAGTCTTTTTGATTTATGTTTAATTTTCACAAATATTGTCGAAAAATGTTATAAGATACTAATAACAATGTTGTCGCAATAACCGACAATATGTTTTGGGATAAAAATTCCAAATCGTTGGGTTAAAGAAAGGAAATATAACTTTCGATTAGTCTCAAACAAATTCATGTTTTTTTTTATGGACGCTTAATTTTAACTATTATTTGTTAAGTTTATCCGAGAAACCAGAAGTGAATAGATGCTAATTCAGTATTTGGATTGAAAGAGAAAATTTTTCTCACTTTCGTTTGTTGATAAAAAATTTGTGATTATACAGGGTGACTGATAAAAAAACTTTGACGCTATATGTTGCTGATTTTTTGCCATATTCGAACGAATGATAGATCAATTGAAATCGTTTTAAACATACTTCGTTGTGATCTACTAAAAAAATGACGTTTAGTTTTTGACAGTAGTCAGCATTGTTTTTTTTATTGCACCCTACCGGGTGGCATACTGGTGAGTTTGGTAAAAATTTGTATTAAAAAAGTTTCTTCTCACATTTTGGTGGAGTTTTTTATGATTTTAAAAAATTGTTTGACGTATCGAAAATTGTCGAAGTTTTCAAAACTCTACGTTTAAAATGTTCGTAGTTAATTTTAAGTCCCCTGGTGTTTTATTTTCGTATAAATTTAAAGGACTCTGATGTTTTGTTGCGGGATGAACTTGAAAAAATTTTTTGAGCTTTTAGTGTTTTATTTTTTATGAATTTCAAAAAGTCTTGAGTGCCGCAGTTTTTTTTTAGATTCGGAAGACTCTTGGGTACCCATGGTGTATTAGTTTGGGAGCCCATGGAGATTTTAAACCAATTTTGGGGGACTTTTGTGTTCTGTCTTTGGAAAATTCTGACCTGACCTGTTTTTGAGTTAATTTTGGGAAAACGTTTTTGTTTTTTTTTTTTTAATTTAAAACAATCTTGAGGTTCTAGGTTTGGAAAGAATTTGAAAGGGCTTTGGAGCCTCTAGTATGTTTTCTTATAATAATTTAATTAAATTTCTTAGAGGATATGTCATTTGCCAAAATCAGTCTTAACAGGTACTAGCTTCAACCAACCGGCTTCTCTTTTCTTAGAGCGCGTGTCATTTGCCAAAATCGGTCTTATTTTAGCAGGTATTATCTCCGCCCACCCTCCTTTCATTTCCTACAGGGTGTGTCATTGCCAAAATCACCTTTATCTTAGCAACTACTGATGACTAAGTTTACAAAAAATGATCAAAATTTGGAAAGATTACGAGCTTACAAGGCACAAGGCAGGAATTTTGAACATCTTCTCTAGTGTTTAGGTGGTTATGCTTTAATGGATTTTTGTTTTGTTGGTTTTGTTTTTTTTATAATGTATAAATGTCTTATTGAATGTTTTTTTATTTATGTATATTTGAAACCCCCGTACATAACGTACTGAAGAGTTAATCCGCCATTTTCCAGACACCCGGAATATTTTTTGTTTATTTTTGTAAATATTTGTTTTTAAAATACGAAATTTTATTTACTCATAAAAGAAAAACAAGTAAGAAAAGAAGGAAACATTTGTCGAAATTGTTCAAAATTGTCTTCCTGCTGTCGTAGACATTGTTGACACTTTCTAGAAATACCCATCGGTCATATTTGGCAACTTGATTTAATTTAATTATTTATTCTCGATCGTTTTTTAATGTATGATTATAGTTGTTATATTTTTCATATTCAGAAAAAAATGCTGTAAAATTGAATACAAATATATACAATGCCATTTAAAAAAATGTATCTCATTTGTGGGAAACAGGCGGCAAAAAATATCAAATAGACTCATATTAGAGTCTTTTCATAATGATTCTATTTGGTGTATTGTTTATTCAAATGGATAAAAAATCAGCAACATACAACGCAAAAGTTTTTTCAGTCATCCTGTATATATATGGTTTCAAAAAGAACGCATAAGCTCGGTGATACGTTATTAAGAAGGTTCTGAAGAACTCGAAAAAAATGGTTAAACTTCAAAATTCAAGACTTAGCTTCGTAATTCTAGTTTCTTTTAATGAATCGTATGTCTGATAGACAGTTACATAAATAGTGATTAATAATTTAATAATAACTTGATGGACTGCGATCCACAACGTCACTATTTATTCTTGACAGATGTCATTTTTGACAATTTAGATTGGAATTTTAGACTATGAATGAAATTCTGCAATTTTGAGGTTTAATAAATTTGGCTGAAGGTTTTTTAACCATTTTTTTCTATGAGCCTTCTTATCAACGTACCATCGACTTTACGCGTCATTTTCGGAACACTTGTATAAATCCAGGCAAGTTAAAAATTTTCCAACATTCGTAACAAGAGACAATCGCAAAATGCTTTATAGTTAGTGAATGAAATTTCCGATAACTTAGACGTTTCAATTTCCATAAAGAATTTGTATAAAAATACTGTGTCGTTAGAGCCTTTGACATCGGGTGATCATTTAAATTGTGACGTCAAGTGGCACATGAAAATACAAGGGTATGTTACAATAATTGCGTCTAGCACTAAGTTGTTTGTTTGCCGTAACTAAAACGTTGTCGTGACCTTTGACTAACTTTGACTAAAATCATGTAAATGTGTTGAATTGCTTAGGCTCGACTTTCGTCGACGCCAGATTTAGATGTACGTGTAAACCACCTTTTTGAAGAACAATAAAAACAGCAAATTTTGATTTTTTTATTTTTTTATTGGTATCTTACGTATTTCTGCTATTATAATAAAAAATATGTGTCTGAATTTTCCTCTCGGTAATAATACTTGTTCGACGAACAACTACATTGACGGCTTTCAGTTTTGGTCACAAATTGCTTGAAAGAGCTAACGACTGAGTTAATTCCTCTAATAGATGTGGTTCTTTGTGATTGTTTCTTCACCTCGCATTTTGACAGGTCTACCATTTAAAGGGGAATCCCACGAACGCCTTCCGCACCCTCCATAATTACAATATTTGATTTGAGTTCGTTTGTCACGGCTGTTTTAATTTCAATATGGGATCGCAATTAACGCGTGTTAAATACATGCTTATATTTCGCTTAATTTAATTTGTGTTTGCATTGAATGGGCTTTGATTGTTAATTTTACCTTCACTTAGCCTCGTTGGTACTTTGTTCGAGGCATATCGAATTTGTTGCTTTGAATTATTTTCAATGAGTCTAATTAATGATTTTCTGTTTTGTACTGTTTGTGGAGCACGTTGTGAAGAAGTAATTTATGTTGGATTTGTTTCACTTTTGTAGGCGAACACGCAAGAATTTCAGACGGAGATTCATCAGGTACAGTTGATGGAAGCTTTGAAAAACACCAGGCCTTCCTTAACGAGGGCAGAGCGAATGAAATATGAACAAATGTAAGGCAATGATTATTGTTCTTGAACTGATTGTAGTTTGTGGTTTGTAGTTACCGCAATTTCGAAGGCGGCGGAAGCAAGGATTTTACTCCCGGGAGCCGAGCTACTTTAGCGTAAATACTTTCCAGATTTGTTTAATGTTTTTTGTTGTTAATAAACGTGTTTCTTTTGTTTCGTTTTGTATATGGCAGTGTTGAATATAGTATCACAAAGGTAAGGTAAGATAGATTGTACAAATCCATAATTGCTTCTTTGACTTGATTACAACGGGTGTTCAACTGAAACTTCCTGGTAGTTGGGCTTGACATCGATTTAATACCGTTTTTATTTTTTTGTTGCGTTTTTGCCGATTTGATAAAAATATGCAGCGTTCAAAGAAATCAAGAGCTCAGAGATTCACGTTTTCGAAAATAAAATTCAAAATTTAATGCCCCACCTTTTTTTTTTCAAAATTAATGATCCTATGAATTGTTCTGTTTTTTTTTTATATTCGCATTCATTTTGCGTATATTTTTGTACTAATATTGCACTCAAATTTTTAATTTTAAAACAGTAATTATAGCTCTATTAATGAAACAAAGCAACAACTTTTTTAAAATGATTTGTAAATTCCACAACATCAATCAAGGACAAGTCAAACCACTACTCAAAAAACGCTATATGCCAGAATTGAAATTTCGGGTTTTCCAATTAACAAATTCATACAAATATTAATTTTGTGTCCATTACAAACCACTTCTTGCCACGTAACCACGTGTTTTTTTTTTATTTCTTTCTATGTATTGTCAATTTATATGTTCAGCTTTTGGTGTTCTTGAAAACGTTGGATGATTTTCCGCCGCGAGTCTGTGAATACCAGTGGGAGTTGGTTTTTGCCGCTCTCTAGAGATAATGGTTATAATCAGACTGTTAAAGCTTATGGACATAATTAGGTAATTAATGAAACCACTTTAGAAAATATACATCGCCATGTATACGTCTCGTGTATAGGCAACACTCATAACAATACTAGACAATGTGTGTGAACTACGTATACCAAAGATGTTGGTGAACTCGCGAGTTATTGCTGTGGAAAAAAATACTTTAAATTTTTTCAAAGTTAAGTTTTCAAATGAAGTATAACTGAAAATATCACCACAAATACGTCTTAAGTGTGTTTTTGTAACAAAAATGTAGCAAATATTTAATGTGTACATTCTATATTTTTATTTATCTTGTATCGTAATCTGAAGAATTACTGGAACAAAAAACAAATATTCCAGTATTCCGTAACGGTTTTACATTTCTGAAAAAACTAAAAATTATTCCTAGAATTGAAAGTGAACGTATATTTATTTGTAACTGTATTATTAATATCCATTATTTTTGAAATATTTTGAAAAATATAACGCAGATTATATCATTAGTGTGTAATGGAATAGGTAACATTTGAAAAATGTGTTATTCAAAAGTTTTATTTCAACAATGTCATGAGTTTCAAACTCGAAATTTTAGCTTTGTCTAATGATGAACGGTAGGTATTTCGAGTAGTGATTTTAATTAATTTACCGGAAAACTTTTAAATTTCATTGTTTTTTTATGTTATAATTTTTACCGGCATTATTTACGTTATTTTGTATGCATATTTTCCGAGTAGTGATTTTATTTTCGTAATTGTTAGCATTGCTTTAGGATTTAGATTGTTGTGTATGGCGCAATGTAGAGCAGTTTTGAGTTTTTTTTTTCAATAATGAAAATAAAGTAGGTACGTTTTTTTTAAGTCACCACCGTTGCAATTTCTCTCAATATCATAAGCGGCAACATAGTTAGGATTTTTTTGGTGGAAAACGAAAACGAATTAAGGTTAAATTACCTGTTTTGTGAGATCTGTAAACGTGGTAACTTCTGGCTTTCTTACTTTAAAATCTCTAGTTGGAAAATTTTCATTAACCCATTTTTATTTTGCGTGGCATGTTTAAATTTTAAATCATGATGGCGGTTACATAAAATTCTGTTTTGACTTGACAGAGGTGTGTCATTAACAGTCTAATTCTGACACTACCACTATACAAAAATTACCAAATGTATAGGGGAAATTTTATGTCACCAACATACAGAAATAGATGGTGGGCTTTTAATTAAAAACAAAAAGAAAACGTACTTTATGTTTTTCATGATAGGAGGTTAAAAAAAGGTATCACCCAATAAGAATATCTATATATTTTTTAATGATTATTGTTGTAAGCTAAGGAAGTATACTAGTATAGTAATCGAGTCCATCGGACGAATGGCCACTTTTATATTTTCTCGACGTTTCATGACCCCTAGAGTACAAAAAAGTAGTCTCCCGTTTCTGTCTGTCTGTCTGTCTGTCTGGTATCTATCCGTTTTTATTAGACATTTAATATCCGAAACTGCTGTACCGATTGTTCTCACATTTTGTATGTATGAATATATTAGTAGATGGTTAAATGCTAACGAAAATTTTACTAATCATCTCCACCAACAATTTGATGACGTCATTTCAAAGAACTTTATGTTTATTTGATTTAACTGTAATACAACAATATAGTTCTATAAGTGTGGTGTGCGAATCCGCTTTGAGTTTTTGTCTAACTTGTCGGGGGCCCCAAATGTATTTTTTTACGAATGTGAAACCTTCTCAGGGGTTCCAATTGTCTTTTTTAAAAATGTAAAACCTTCTTGGGGGCCCCAAATGTCTTTTTTAAGAATCTGAAACCTTCTCGGAGGTCCCCACTTCTTTTTTAAAAATATAAAACTTTATCGGAGGTTCTAAATGTTTTTTCTTCTAATGTGAAACCTTCTCGGGGACTCCAACTGTCTTTTCTTCTCGGAGGCCCAAAATCTATTTTTTTAAGAATGTGAAACCTTTTCGGGGGTCCCAACTGTCTTTTTTAAAAATGCAAAACCTTTTCGGGTGCCTCAAATGTGTTTGTTTAAGAATGTAAAATCATTTCGGGGGTCCCAACTGATTTTTTTTTATTGTAAAACCTCGGGGGCACCAAATGTCTTTTTTATTAATGTGAAATCTTCTCGGTGGTGCCAACTGATTTTTTTAAAAATGCAAAACCTCGGGGGCGCCAAATGTCTTTTTTTTTTAAACGTGAAACCTTCTCGGAGGTCCCAACTGTCTTTTTTAAACATGTTTAACCTCCTCGGGGGCTTCAAATGTATTTTTTTAAGAATGTGAAACCTTCTCGGGGGTTTCAATTGTCTTTTTTAAAAATGTAAAACTTCGGGAGCGTCAAATGTCTTTTTTTTTCAAATGTGAAATCTTCTCGGAGGTCCCATCTACCTTTTTTAAAAATGTAAAACCTTCTCGGGGACTCCAAATGTATTTTTTTAAGAATGTGAAACCTTTTCGGGGGTTCCAATTGTCTTTTTTAAAAATGTAAAACCTCGGGAGCGTCAAATGTCTTTTTTTCAAATGTGAAACCTTTTCGGAGGTCCCATCTACCTCTTTTAAAAATGCAAAACCTTCTCGGGGGGCTCCAAATAACTTTTCTTTTAATGTGAAACCTTCTTGGGGATCCAACTGTCTTTTTTAAAAATGTATAACCTTCTAGGGGTCCCAACTGTCTTTTGTAAACATGTAAAACCTTCTCGGGGACTTCAAATGTCTTTTATTTTAATGTGAAACTTTCTTGGGCGTCAAACTGTCTTTTTTAAAAATGCAAAAGCTTTTTGGGTGCCTCAAATGTGTTTGTTTAAGAATGTAAAACCATTTCGGGGGTCCCAACTGGTTTTTTTTTAATGTAAAATCTCGGGGGCGCCAAATGTCTTTTTTATTAATATGAAATCTTCTCGGTGGTGCCAAATGACTGTTTTAAAAATGCAAAACCTTCTCGGGGTCGCCAAATGTCTTTTTTTTAAACGTGAAACCTTCTCGGAGGTCCCAACTGTCTTTTTTAAAAATGTAGAACCTCCTCGGGGGCTTCAAATGTATTTTTTTAAGAATGTGAAACCTCCTCGCGGGTTCCAATTGTCTTTTTTGAAAATGTAAAACTTCGGGAGCGTCAAATGTCTTTTTTTTTCAAATGTGAAATCTTCTCGGAGCTCCCATCTACCTTTTTTAAAAATGTAAAACCTTCTCGGGGGCTCCAAATGACTTTTCAAAAAAAACAATTAAAAAATGTCAAACCTTCTTGGGGATCCAACTGTCTTTTGTAAAAATGTAAAATCTTCTCGGGAAGTTCAAATGTCTTTTATTTTATTGTGAAACTTTCTTGGGCGTCCAACTGTCTTTTTTAAAATTGTAAAACTTTCTCGGAAGCCCCAAATGTCTTTTCTTTTAATGCCAAACCTTCTCGGGGATTCCAACCAATCTTTTTTAAAAATGTAAAACCTTCTCGGGGGCTCCAAATGTATTTTTTTAAGAATGTGGAACCTTTTCGGGGGTTCCAATTGTCTTTTTTAAAAATGTAAAACCTCGGGAGCGTCAAATGTCTTTTTTTTCAAATGTGAAACCTTCTCGGAGGTCTCATCTACCTTTTTTAAAAATGCAAAACCTTCTCGGGGGCTCCAAATGACTTTTCTTTTAATGTGAAACCTTCTTGGGAATCCAACTGTCTTTTTTAAAAATGTATAACCTTCTAGGGGGTCCCAGCTGTCTTTTGTAAAAATGTAAAACCTTCTCGGGGACTTCAAATGTCTTTTATTTTAATGTGAAACCTTCTTGGGCGACCATCTGTATTTTTTAAAATTGTAGAACTTTCTCGGAGGCCCCAAATGTCTTTTCTTTTAATGCGAAACCTTCTCGGGGATCCCAACTATCTTTTTTAAAAATGTAAAATTTTCTCGGGGGTGCAAAGTGTATTTTTTAAGAATGTGAAACCTTCTGGGTAGTTCCAACTGTCGGTTATCACGAAAAAGTAAAATTCCGCAAAATCAAATTTTATAATTTTTCAGAGAAGCAGTATTTGTTGCACTGTACTTCAGAAGCGAGGGAAGTTCTGTCGAAATTTCGACCAGTTTTTTATATCAATTATTTAACTTATGATTTCGCACTTTTTTGCACCGTTTCTTTCTTATTTTTTTTTTGTTTTTCAGCAACTGTATGGAGTAGAATTTAATTTTTTTCATTTCCAGTTTTTATGTAAATGTAAATACTTAATTAAAAAAACTCCCAAAGTACAATATTAAAAAAAATACTTTGCTTCCAAATTCAGATG